GTGAATTTTCCAGAACTTCGAACTGCTTGACAAGGTCAAGTACCTAGGCGAACAACTTTGTGATAATGACCCCAACCCCTCCTAAAGCAACGTATTTTCAAATGCACTCACTTTGGCTATCATAGCTTTTTTGTCCTTGACATTTGTGACAGTGGGATTCCAATTACTTGCTAGATATTGCATTTTCATTTGTAGATCGTCATCAGGCACCTTCTTCAAACGCTCTGTCACCATTGCTCTGTAACAACTCAACTTTGTTCTACCAGTAACTCAACAAACGGGAGTTGTAATCCCTCACCTGACATAGGGGAAATCTCCTTCAAGATCATTGACTTTCACCAATAAGGCGTTGATCGAATCCATATGCTCTTGAAGCCTGTTCCGCTCAGCAGATATCGGTGGGGCCTGAATACTCATTGCACGCTGGGATCTCTAACGAGAAGCCTTTGCCGGGAAGGGGGGGGGTGAGAAGAAATTTTCAGTTGATGACTTTCTTCAGCTTGACGGCAGTTTTTTCAACGGAAAAAAGCGGAGGGGTCTTCGGACTCGACCGCGAAAAGGTGATAGAAAAGTGGGGGGGAAAAAGAAAGATTGTAGCGGATTGAGTTTGGGGACAGAGTCGCAGCAAAGGAAGAAATTTCGTAAGGGGTCGCACCAGAGGAGGAAATTTTGAAGGGGTCTTTTGCGGGAACTTCCCCCAACCGCAGGACCCGCCCTGGTCCCATAACCACGGCGCAGCATCAGGATGGGGAAAATGATGGTGTAGTACCACCCTCCCCATCTAACCAGGAAAGGTCAACAGGTCAGCCCGGCCATTTCCAATGAGCTGCACACCGTTGTACGCGTCTTGGGACGGTGAACTCGAATCTACCTTCAGAATTTGCGGAACGACTCTCTGAACGGAGTTATGGAGGGTTTTATCCCCGCGTGGTTGTTTCACATGCTATCGCGAGGAAACGTGGAAGCGTCTTTACATATACGTATGGAGTCCACTTGAAACGTGGCAGTAGAGCGCAGCGGATAGCGAGCGGGTTTACTAGGCGAGACCCTGCAGGATCGGTCTCGGCCT